TATATCACAATTAAATCCTGTTATTGAACGATATTGTTGACATATTTGTTGCAAAGACAGTGAACGGAAAATTAATTGGCAATCGCAGTGAAAATGTAACGCATTTGAAAATCTGAGACATAATTTCTACAACAACATAATAATTGAACGTAATAAATGAAAAATGAATTATATATATATATATATATATATATATATATATATATATATATGTGTGTATAAGGTTGTCAAATATCTCCCTTCCGCCTTTTTGTATTATGAACCAAGAGCAAAAAAGCGGAAGGGAGATATTTGACAACCTAATATATATATATAACATTATTGTAAAATAAATACTATCATTATCGACCAAAAAGGAAATATTTTGACATTTATAAATTTAGTGCATATTGGATATATGAAATTGACATTCACTATTTAAATTAAATGCAAATATAAAAAATCTGATATTTATATAAAAAATTGTATATTTAGATAATGATACTGCGTTGATTTAGACTTATCCATGATGCGAGTAAATTAATTTTTTAAAGTATAAAATGCCAAATAATTTTGAAAATTATAACAAGTTTTTAACTATTTGTCAGAAAGAATATATTTTATTACAAATTCATATCCATATCAAGCACCAAAGTAATAAATAATACTTATAAAATGACATATTATTTATAGACAATATTTAATGCATATTTTAAGTATATTTTTTGACATTTTCTAATTCAAAATAAATTAAAAATAATTGAAAACAATGTCATATATCGTATATTTATGGAAAAATATCAAATAAATATATTTGTTTCACTTGATTTCAAATTAAAAAAAATAATTGCTATGCAAAAATAGATAGTATATCCATTTATAAATATATTCTAAATATTACAATTTTGATAAATAAGCATCCATTATTTTACAGTACAAAAATTGATAAAAAATTAATAAAAGTGCAAAAAATCAAACATTTAATATATTTGGATTCGGATTTCTCAAAACTTTATCCATGTTAGTTTCAGAGATAGTATGAATATCAATTTATAGTCGAGAATTTATATGATAAGTGATTAAAACATTATAGATCACAATAAAAAAGCGACATATTGAATTTAACATTAATCATAAACAAAATTTTGACAGTTCAAAAAAAATGATTTTTTAACAACTTCAATAAGTAACAAATACATTAATTATTCCAAGTTATGTTATATAAATATTGCCAAACAAATTATAGATATAAATTATATCATATTATATTAAATTCTGACCAAGAAAGAAATATTTTGGCATTTAAAAATTTAGTGCGTATGAAATCGACATTTAATATTTTTAAATTAAATTAAAAAAAGCAAAAGTAAAAAATCTGATTAAAAAAATTATATATTTAGATAATGGTACAGCGTTGATTCAGACTAAAAAATAATTTATTTCAACAATAAACAATATTCATTGTTTAAAAAAAATTTCACTATTTGACATAAATAAAATTAAAATAAACAAAACACTATGATGCGTTAGAATTAGCTATCGAAATGTAAAGAAATTTGTGTAATAAAAATATAACATTATTATTAATATATCATGTATAGTATAAGAACTTCTGCAAAGCGGCAAAATATTTTTGATGGCAAAGCAACGTTCGCCGGGTCAGCTAGTATATATATATATTGTTTTTTAGGATGTTGCTTGATTGAATTGAATTTGCTTTTCGAAGGACCGATTGTAAATACTTTAATTTTGTAACTAGTAATATTTATTTTACGTTAATTACATAAATTACATCGTATTTATAATAATTTTAATACGTTTTTATTGCGTGTTGAATGATTTGATTTTAGTTTTATAATAAATCGATTGATGATTTTTTGTTTTCTATCTCAATATAGCCGCATGCTTTGATTGGCGCGAACATGTATATTTATATATATATCTGTGTGTGTGTGTGTGTGTATTATATGTATATATTACCATTGCCGGTGGAGACGCCGATACATTTGTCAGTATAAATTTTGTTCCCCAGTTTGCCGATTAATAGGCTTGATTAAAATACCACGAACTCATATCGCATACAAAATGTTATATGCTTCATACACTTCATTTGTATAATTTAATTATGGTTTACGCAGAATTCAGATAGACTTCCTTCTAAATACTGACAATTTAATTAAATTGCAGGAAACATCTCACAGGAAAACTATGATGGGTTTGACATTGACCTTTTTTTACGGAAATGTCGCACTGTGTAATTTATTAATCGATAATAAAGAGGATATACTCGTAATTCTACTATTTTTGGCTGAAAAGCCAAAAAGTCATAAGACTTATTTTTCATAAATGCCATATAAATAATTGGATTTATTTCTCAAGTAACATGACAATCTTTGGAACAAATATGTAAGATTTTTTACATATAATTATCCAGATTGCCTCCGCATCGTATATAAAATTATTATCTTTTCATTGCGTATCAGAGAAAAAAACGTAAATAAAAACTGCGTCTCAAAAGATCTCGCCTGATTTGTTGTTTTTGCAAATTTAATTATGTATTTCGCGCTGGGAAACGAAATAAAGATAGATGATGCCGAAAAAATCAGCATAATTAGCATCGATACATAAACTTTCATGTAAACATCACAAAGCCATGAAACGCTTTTTCGAACAGATGGAATTAACAGCAGACCGCCGGAGATAATATATTTATTTTGCATTTTTTATGTGAGACTTTTTGGATTGAAATAAATTTAATGTCGATGACACATTACTTAAAATATTTAAATACATATATAACTCATCGTTATATAATATTGCATGATTTTAATCAAATTTTGTTAAAAAAGCAAGTCAAATTCATTCCCAGAATAACCCACAAAAATCTAACGATATATAGAAATTGTGTATCAAAAATTTCACCATACTTGTATATTCGATGAAATTACATCTTGTAATCAAAATGTATCATTAAAGGAATGAATATATAATATAATATCATATATGTATTAAAGTCGTCATTTCAACGGAATATATCATTCAATTACGAATATCCTGTTAAGGTCGTTATTGGCAAGGAAGGTCGGTCGAAGGATTTTCTCACAACCTTGGCGAAAAAAAATTAAAATTTAATAAAATTTTAATAAAAATTTAATGAAAAATTTGTACAAAAACAAGTCATTTTCATTCCCAGAATGATCCACAAAAATCTAACGATATATACAAATTGTGTATCAAAAGCAGGTCATTGCGTATCAAAAATTTCACCATACTTGTATATTTGATAAAATTACATCTTGCAATCAAACTGTATCATTAAAGGAATGAATATAATATCATATATGTATCAAAGTCGTCATTTCAACGGAATATATCACTCAATTACGAATATCCTGTTAAGGTCGTTATTGGCAAGGAAGGTCGGTCGAAGGATTTTCTCATAACCTTCTTGAAGAAAAACACATTAAGATAAAACAACAAATTATATTTCACGTTTTAAAAGTCCCGAAGTTAATTTAAATGCATTACGCCACAGTTATTCCTTCCTGTTTTTTTTTTTGTATTTTTATAAAAATCATTTTTTTACTGTGTACTTCTTATTTCATCACTGTGATGTAATAATTCGTAAAATAAATACCTGTACTTAACACAAACTTAAAGATATGCTTTGATCTCAACCAAAGGCTTGTGAAAATATAACGTTTTGAGTTCTGATTATTTGCTGTCTAAATATTATTCGATCAGAAATAGAAGATATTTAAATATTACTAGAGAATTTCTATTAATATCTAAAATTATATCTAATTATATAATTATAGTAATATATATATATATATATATATATATATATATATATAAACTTTAGATATTACAATTTAAATTTTAAATTTGATTTTCTTTTCAACTGTTTTCTCGTACTATAAACCTTTCACAACCAGATTTAAAAACCATTCGATTAAATATATTATATTGTTGACAGTGTCCATAAAAGTTATTTATAAAACCGTTTGCTATAAATACACTCATTTGAAATAAAAATATCCATTTTTGTCTCGAAAAACAAAACGCTTTAAAAACATTTTCTGTATGACAATAGAAGCCGCAGAATTGTATAACTTGCGGTTGTACTGCTGCAGTTTTAAAACAAAATCTAAAAATGTAATGGAATTTATAAATGAAATATATATGTATTACAATAGTTGTTGAAGCATATTTGTAGTCTTTATTTGATTAAAATTAATGGAGCCGCCGTCTGTATGACTATTTTCATGAAATTAATCAAAATACGTCTTAAGGACATAAGGCGATGTCGACTTTATGATATATAAATTTGATGAACTTTATAGTTATATTTAGATATGTAACGCAAATAATTGAATACAAAATCACATACACAGTTTTAGTAATCAAATTGTAGTGAAAGTCGTGTCAAAAATGATAATAATATAGCATAATCCATCCATCCAAGATATATATCTTATTGTTAGATATCATTATATTTGTTTAATTATCGGTCATAAATATAATTTGAAATTATGAAATACTTACTTGGTTCAAATTTCACTATTCAATTGTTTTTTTTTAAGTTTTTTTAGTGTCTTGTATATTTTAGATTCACAAATCCACATAAATCGTTAGCCAATGGAGGTACTGTGTTACATTTTGAACATTGAACTGAATTGAAATTACCTGATTTCGTCAATCAGTTAATTACAATGTAATATTTTTTAACATACTGAGAGCATACACAAATTTTTCTCACTAGAAATTATAAAAAAAAATTAAAGCGTCATTTTGCGTTGGAATTTTACAAAATTAGGTAATATAGCAACCTGATGTTTGGAAGGTTGATAACGAACTAAAATTTTTATTATTTGTTTATTTTTACGTCTTAACAATATTTCTGTCTTCAAAGAAAATTGTCACATTAATAAATAAACAATTTTATAAATTTAGACCCCTAAAATATTTTTTTTAAATATGGATAACGACCTAACCCATTTTTTTTTTTCAATTTTCAGCTTTAACAGTCCGTTACTTAACAAGACGTTTTATAGGGGAATATCGTTCAAGAACAGATCTCCTGTATAGACAAACTGTAACAATAGTCGATCCTGCAGGATTACATCGATCAGAATTGGCCCTAGATGTCGAAATTGTTGATGTCAGTTGTTCAGTTCCCGAAGATGGATTTCCTTTCCCGGCCGATCAGGTAATAATAGACAAATTAGTAATTATTTGTGTATAATTTAATTGTATAAAAAATTAAATTGATTAAATAAACGTTATTAGGGATTGTCTCAAAAATTTCGCATTAAATGAAAAAGTTTTTAATTTTATATTGAATCTTGTGGTCCATGTTCAAATTGACCATTTATAAAATTAAGCAAAAAAAATTCTCTAAGATTGTTCCATATTTCGGTTGCACTGAATTAAATTTCCGAATGGAAGCGTAAAATTAGTTTTGTGGTAAATATACATTTTCCAACGTTTTTATAATATGTATAAATACAATATCAATTCAGCACCAAATCAATTTTTATCAAAAAATTTATTTGTTTTATCGTACTAAAACGTATTATTATTCCACATTGGTATTTCATATCTTGATTAGTATTTGTTACTTTATTAACTTCCCGAAGGAAAAGTTTACGTTTTCGTAAAAAAAATCCGATTCGCTGATTTTAGGTTTTCTCGACATTTTAAGCCATTCTGAATCGAATGAGACCAAAAGAGTATGTGTGTGTGTGTGTGTGTGAACAGATTTTTTGTATGTATTTACCAGAAATATTATATTTTACAAAGGCATCTCAGACTCTTATAATAAAATTCAAAAATTAAAAAAAAAACATCAAATTAAATTTTAATTTAAGCTATATAATATTTTTGATAAAATCAAATTTAAATTCCTACACAAATCTTAATATATTTTAATAGTGATTGATACGTTCGGTAATCCAAATAATAATAAGTAAAATGTAATAGGTTGTCTTTAAAATATAAAATATAAATTTTATAACGAATATAAGTCAATGTTTCATTTATAATATAATAAATAAATCGGTGATAAAAATTGTTTGTCGATAAAACTACTTTTGTAGCCGCACATGCCGCAATAATAAACTAAGATCGTGTCGCAGAATTTAATGAACTATTTCAGAAAAGATTGATTAAAAATAAAATTGTTTATGATAAATATTATATAACAAAGTTTATGAAGAAAATTAAGAAAATCTTGCTATATATATATATATATATATATATATATATATATTTATATATCAATAGTTTATTCTTATAAATATATATATATATATATTGGTCTAGATGAAGTCTATGCATGGCGAGAGTATACTAAGTTTATGAGAATTTTTGTTGAAAAATTAGATGGGAAATTTGATAAATGTATGTGTTTAATTAAATATATTTAAAACATATGTTAGAAAATTTAAAAAATAGCTATAGCTATGAGCTATGAGTTATTCTATAGCATGAATTACTTAGTTTCAATTTTTTTATGTATTTTTACCAGAATATTTTGATAAATTATAGTCCAAGCTTATATAACTGTTTTCAAAGCTCATACTTCATAAGTACTTCTAGTACTAATTTTGCTAAGTTACAAAAAATCGCCACCGTCAAATTTATTTTTAAAAATAAATAAGCAAGTCTTTGCAAGTTTGTGTGTAATTTTATATATAAGTTACTAACAATTTTACGATTTTATTCTAAATTTTTCTCTGAGAGGTTCGTCTATAAAAGCTTCCAAGCAATAATACGTTGGCAGCAATTTGGCTAACGATATATTCTGCAAGTTTATTTGATAAATTAAATGCGAAACATACATCAAGATGTGTCCTTCACGTCAGTTATGTCTGATATTATGACCTGATAACTGAAGTCATGACACGTCCGAATAGGGGAGACCGGGGTAACATATAAATTCAGAATAATCGATAAAAACTATTTAAAAAAAAATACAAAAATATCGCAATTCTATATAAGTATACAAAAATATTAGAAAATATTGTACTAATTACATTCACACGTTTGCAAAGAGTAAAAGTTTCAGCAAGATACAAAAATTGAGTATTATTTTATTTTTACTTGGTTGTGATATCCAAAATTTTATTAAACTCTGTTTTATTGATAGTCTGATAGTATTGTAATCGTAATGTACGATTAATGCTATAGCATCCACGTCAAAGATTACATCACTATTTTACGCAATGTGCTTGCCTAACAATAAGTTAATTTGTAACAACCGGAAAAAAGATAATACGAATCAGTAAGTCACTTTTTTGGCAAGTATAATAACTACAAAAACATACGGTTATATAAATTAATTTCAAAATAATTGACTTGAAAACTTGAATGCTATAGCATTCATGTCATTCTGTATCATAATAAAAATTAATTCTATAGCATTCACATCGGTGAAAGTTTTAAGAATGCAAACTGAATTACATAAAATAAATCATGTACCAAAACACTTTAATATGACATTGCAAAATAAGATACAAAGTAGGGTTTATACAAAAACCGACATTTCAAAAAACCGGTTTTCGAATTTTAATTTTACTAAAGAAACGGTTTTAACCGGTTTTCGAATTTTATATAGAAAATAAATTTTTGCTCGGATATCTTGTAATTTATCCGCAAATTTAGTGTAATTTAGAGCAGTATTTGACTAAATTTATTTATTGTTCAATTTTATAGATAATAAACAAAATTATTTTAATTTTAATTCGTAGAACTAAAAAATAATAGTTTATGTTAATTAAATAACTTTGAAAATAATTATTCGTTATTCATGCATCATTTTCACATATAAGAATGAAAATATTTTTGTGATAGTGAAAGAAAAGTTTTCGAATTATTAAAAATAATACATTTTTAAATAAAAAACATTCATTGAATTAAAAAAAAATAAAAAAAATATTAGATACATGTTGATACATACTTGTTAATATCAATTTTAGTTTTAAAAACAATTAAGCTGAACTCGCGTATTGTCTGTTTCGAGCAATTTCAATTAAATAATTTTAGAATATGATTTAAAAAAACTGAGTACGTCTATCAAATTGCTACTTAGACGTGCCCTTTATTGTTTACTCACAAAATTTTCTGAAATAGAAAATACTCTCATACTTGCGACCAAATTATGCTTAATTATTTTTAAAGTCTGATATAATAATTCTAAGTTTTTTGTTCTTTAATTTGTGACTTCTAGGGTTTAAAACCCTTTTTTTCAAGTTTGAGTAGAGGAAGTGACTACTTCAAGAAAAAGTCACACTGATTGAAATTAATATAAACACTGATATACAAATCTAAATTAATATATACAAAACTTTTCTGGGAACCATTGCAGACTGATAAGATATTAAATGCTATTGAACCGATATGATTTCAAGAATTAAAACGCTTTCATCTATCTTTATTTGGATGTATTTGTCATTTTCCATTTCTACAGTGAAACCCGACTTTTTTCACTAAAAAACCGGTTTTCGAATCCCATAATTTTCGACAAAAAACCGGTTTTTAAAATACAAAGGCACTGCGTTATTATTTTTGTGAGTGCTGGCTCCTTTATTCCGACCATCCCTTATTACCCCATTTTTCCTTATTACCATGATACAATCTATTCCCATTGATTCCAATAATGTACATATGCTGAGTGCGAATTCGAAAACAGAATTTATGATGTTGCCCTAGTTATCTTGAAATATGCAAAATATGAGATTTCACGTTCAGTTCAAAATATGTTTAGAACTGCGACTTTGTTGCGAAGGTTATGGTTCGAATGACATGAATTCGAATTGGGGAGCAATTTCAAAAGCAATTTGTGGAAATAATCCTTTTGTAAACACATCCACTCGGAAAATTATTCTCAATGAATGAATGGGTTAATGTTCAAGGACTTTGAGATTTCGACTGATGATGAAATGTTATTGGAGTAGAAAGTAATAATATAATAAACAAATGTAAATTTTTTGTTTGCTGACTAAAATTTCTGTTAATGGATAGTTGACAATTTAGCTGCTTAGTAAAAAAGTTTTTTTACATAATCACGTGATCGATTTTTTAAGGATTTTTGGGCCGTTTGGTAATACGTGGTAATATTTAAAATTGCCTCTTACCACCCAACATAGCTTGTATTTTTGTACCTAGAAATATCGTGATTTAATTTTTTTTTTAATTTTGAATTTTTTTCAAATACAGAGAAAAAATAAGTCCACGTAAATTAATGGATGATCATGGAGACAGCCTCATTAATGGGGTAGAGACCGGTTTGACAAAAAATCACATAATATTACGCTGGGAAGGGGGGATATGGCGTGTATTTATTTTTTATCTGATTTTCAAAAACTCCAAAAATTTTCAAAAAAAAAAACGAAAATTTTTAGACTTTTCTAGGTACTAAAAATACAACCAATTTTGGCTGGGCGTTAATAAGATAATTTTAATATAGCCACAAATCAACAAAGAGAAAAAAGGGTTCCAAAAATCCCTAAAATACGATCACGTGATTAATGGAAGACTCTTATGTAAAAAAACTTCTATATTAATGAACTATTTCAACTATGCCTTATTAAACTTAATTTAATGAGCTTGAATTAATCAGCTTTTAGTACATAAGTTTGATTTAAAAGTTCATTTCTATAATTCTGATAATATGGTATATACTTAAGTATTCAGATTTAAAAAATCTGTCATTATTTGATGGGTGTAATATTTTTAACTTCCCGTAGGAAAAGTTAGTGTAATCGTCTAAAAATCGAAATTGAAAATTTTTACATTTCTTCACGTTTTGGAGGTTTCTGAACATTTTAGCATACCTCAGAAAAAATGGATGTGTGTGTGTAGGTATGTATGGATACAATTTTTCGTCTACGTTTTCAAGCGCACGGATCAACCGATTTGAATGGTTCAAAAAACATTCGATTCCTATTGATAAGGAGATGTGCTGATTAGTTTTTGGCAAAGGCAGGTCCAGCAGTTACGGAGATAAAGAGCAAAGAGTGCAGAAAATAGAAATTGAGTTTTTGAGAGAACGGAGCATCCGATTTGAATGATCTAAAAATCATTCAATTCTTAATCACGGGGAGAAGTGGTGATTAGTTTTTAGCAAGGGTAGGTCTAGCCGTTTCGGAGATACTGAGCTAAATTTGCATAAAATGGCAGTTTTTGAGAGAATTAAGCGTTCGATTTGAATGATTCAAAAAACGTTCTGCTTGTATTGACAAAATAATTGCTTTTGGAAAAAAAATTCAAAAGTTCCAGCGTTTTGCCTTAAGGCATGATGCCATACACCTCTAATTTTCTTTCTTATTTATCTATAGCAATAGGTAAAATATTCAAAATCATTAAGAATAGCGCTATGTTTTAATTAATGTTTTACTTCAAAATCTTCCTCTTTGAATCGCAGCAAACGACCTAATAATGAATGCAACAAAATAATATCAAAGCATTCAAAATATACGTTGATTAATAATCACTTCTCTGATCATTCCCAACTAACAATCAATCTAAGTTTCTATAATTAATGGAACAAATATTTCCCATTTCATAATTCTCACTCCAACAAAACAACTTCCTCGTCCGTTGTAGGTATTTAAAATATTTTCACCATGCAATAGATTCAAAAAAAAAAACTTTTAGAAAACCTCCGGCCCGTGACATAGATTACAACATGATTTCGATTATCGCCGGCTATTAATTTTCGGCCACATACCAAGAAAAAGCGCATCTGTCACAAAATCGTATCGGTTATCGTTTTTCTATAGTGCTCCAGATTTAATAAGACGAATGAGTATAAACAATTGTCAAAACAAAGATTTTTTAGATTGGGCAAGGATTCTTCAAACCGATGGAATCTTAGCCCAGAATCGTTTCTCGTCAAGTTCGTGGCTTCTGGCCAAATATCACACATCTATCAGGATTTGATTATTGTACATTTGAGATAATTTTGAAATTTTGTTAATAATTACTAAGGTATTTAGCCAAGGACCGGTTTGACTTTTTGGTAATTACTCAGCTATTTCGTGAAGGACTTGCTTGTTAACAAGTAGGTTTTTTGTAAATACAAATTGGATGTCGTGACGGATCAAGATCAACCATCAAATAAAATTTGATTTTTTATTTCTAAAATAGTTTCACGATTTTGTTAATTATGTAAGTAATTGACAAAGGACGTTTTCATATTGGACAGGTAAATAAATTTCTGTTATTTCAGGTTCAATGGGCTGACGCCTGTTTGGTAGTATATTCAATAACCGATGCCAAAAGCCTCCAATATGCAGCACATGCTCTTACAAGACTAAAAGAATTACAAGGAGCACCTAGTGCGGCCCTGGTTGCCAATAAAGCCGATTTGGAGCACTTACGCGAGGTAATTGATAAATAGATATAAATATGTCAATATAATAATAAGCTAATTAATATTACGTTTCGACACGGTATGTGTCATTCAGCAATTTTCTAATTTAAAAAAAAATACGGTAAAATATATTTCTGGTAAAAAAAATGTTGAATGATGACACACATACCGTGTCAAAACGTATAAATAGTTACTCATTATTTATTATTCTTTTATTTCGACGATTGGCTGCAAATTAACATTCAAGAATATGTTTCAACGACGAACAAAAAAATTTGAATCTTATATATGCATATATATATATATATATATATGTATATATATATATGTGTGAGTGTGTATGTATAACGAAGATCACTTCCAGGTGATGTATCTTAAAACAAAGAAAATCGACGCCTCAATTATTCCCCAGAATCAATTTGGTCAGAGTTAATAGGAATAAATTATTTTCCTTTATCGAATTTTCATAAATAAATATTTGAAAATAAATCGATACTTAGTATCATACTATTTACATGTGGCAAAACTCAAAGTAATGTTGATATTTTAATTTCAATGAAATTGCGTTCGGTTTTGATTAAGATCTATAAATATTTTGACTTGTTCAATTCTGATAAACTTGTAGATGCAAAGGAAAGAAACCGTTCTTTGAATATACAACAAATTGTGCAAATCTGATAAAAATTTCTCGAAAATTGCAATAGAGCGTACTATAAGAATTTATCTATTTTGATAAATTCAAGACTATTATATTTTTTTCAAAATTTAATATAACGACTCTTATCATATCTACATCTAGCAAAAATTTTCCAAAAAATGACAAGATTTTTGGAATAAAAAATAAAATGTTGATGATCGATTTATAACAAAAGCATTGTGTTAAAAAGAAATATCCAGAAGTGTTTTAGTAACTTGGTTATATTTATATATTTATAATTCGGTTTTGATTAAAATGGATGAATATTTTAACTAATAGATAGTAAATATAAAAGACAAAAAATGCGCCTTGATTATGAAAAATAGAGCAAATTTGCCTCGAACCAAAACTATGCCAAAAGTCGTTTTTCAAGAAGGGCATTTTTATCATATTTTTTATTTTATCATATATGTCTACATATATACACAAAATTATATACATTAATTGTATACATTATCCACAAAAAGTATCACAGGTTTCAGAAAAATCTGTAAACTTTTGAGAAGGAAAATTCTTCAGAATTATTGTTATTTTTTACAAAATAATAAAAATACGCTTTGATTTTAAAATAGAGTGCAAATTCGATTTGAATTAAAATTACATCAAAGGTCACAACGGGATGAAAACATATAGCTTTTGAAAATTGTAATGAATTTAGAGGTAATTTTAATTTTCTAAGTGTTTTAAAAAAAGACAATTATCATTAATTATTAATAAAAAAAATATTTATCTTAATTTATAATTTCAAGCCAATATAAACAAAACAATAAATAAATGCAACAATAATAAATGCAACTAGTTGTTTGTATTTTCTTGCTTCAAGCATACAATTTTTGAAAAAAATCCAGAGTTTTAATAATGCAAAGGTTATGTGCAATGTAGAAAAAAATGACGTTAAAAGCAAAGTTTATAAAAGAAAGTCCTGCGAAATTTTTGCTAGTTGATTCTATTTATCCTTCCTACGCTCTTTAAACTTTAGCAGATCCTTCCAACCAATTGTCACTCTAAATTCAAATTTGCATTGTTCGAATTTCCTCTCCTATATAGGTCAACATAGAACGCAATGCAACAATAGGAATACAAAGGAGCCATAAAGTAAAAATAAATACAGATACAAAATGTAGAGATCGTATAGAATTCGAATTTCTATGTAGTTTTCTCTCTGGTGAACTGAAACACGTGCCAGGCCGACCGACGTCTAGAGTATGCGAATTTCCAGTCTGATGGCCTCAACCATTAAAATTAACACACACCTAGTAATTTCAACTAACATTTTAGTAAGATAGATGATACAAAAGCGATCTAGATTGATTTTCAATTAAATTGAACTACTACAATGCACATGAAAAGTATCATCAATACACTCATGCAATTTTCAGCACTAATCACCCATCTCCTTCGGAAAATAAAATAAATAAACAGTAAAACATTTTTCTATTTTATTTTTTGCATTTTTCATTTATACGCAATGCAATCTATTTTATGCAAATTTAAACCCTGACACGTGTGCAAATAAACTACATTGCAAAATTGTATACATATTCATGATCTAACAATACTGTTCCGTTTAATATTTGAAATTGAAGTTTGAGATTATTGAAATAAATAGTTGTATTATTTATTTTGATATAAGTATTATCAAAGGTTGAAAAAAATTAATATTCTTATGTTATATATACATTGTCTATATTCAAAGATATTAGGAGACCTATATTGTGAAAATAGTAGGTAGGGGCATTAAGAGCTTTTTGCCACCGTTTTATTTTAATTAATATATCTTAAGATCCAAACACTATATTTGTACGAAATAAATATAAATAAAATCTATACTATTGCTCTAATAAATAAAATAAAAATAATTCCGTAATTATTGTTCATCATTTCGCAATAAATTATTTTCCAGAAAAATGCGGAGTTACAACTTACCCTGTATTTGGGCCAATTATTTATTATCATTTTTATCTCTTATAATTTATTTTTTGATCATTTTTCAGAAAATACATATGTTCCTAATAAATATAATTAATTAAATATTTATAATTAGGATAAAAAGTTTAATTAATTTTTAGGAGGATTTTTATATCCACATGCTATTAATACAGTTCAGCAATTCTAATTCGCTCAACATAAATTTAAATATATACAACATATGTTCAAATTTTATTACAGTCTTTTTTTAAAACTAGTTAGCAATTAAAACTTTTTAATAGGCAAGCTTTTTGTGCGAATATATGAATCAAACAAAATCTAGAAATTTTATTGGGGAATATAATTATAGTTGACGCGATGTAGAAATTAACTTCAAAATTATTATATATATATATATATATATATATATATATTTATATATATATATATATCATTTCATTAATTAACAGGCAATACGTCAAAATAAAATATAAATTTATTAAAGTTTCGAGTGCAAAATGTATCTCAACGTTCAGCAGAAAAAAGCTCTACATAAAATTTTATTATTTAGAAAAAATAAATTACAATTTTTAAACCAAAAATTGTACAAAGTACGGTTAGAAAAATGCATCAGTTTAAAATAAACTAAGGAAAAACAAAAAATTCTATATTTACATATATGTTCATATGTTCATTTACACATATGTTCGCTTATGTTCATTGTTTGAATAATTATGAAAAAATTGCGTAAGATCGGTTTCACTATATTTAATTTTTTTTAGTATCTTGGTTCAGTTTTCCATTATATTTACATCTAAATGATACTACCAAAAAAATTTTCCTAAATGCAATTACATGCTTTTGATCGACCACAGAGCCGGTGATAAACCGTCTAAACATTTGCCACCGTTTTTATACCGCAGAATTTATTTTTATTGGCATTAGGCGTTGAAATAAAATCATTTATTATCCTTTTTGTCCAATGCCAGAAAATAGTCACAGACTTTGCATTTCGGTTTAATGAATTAACAGTTTTGTTAGGACAGCACAAAATATATTAGTCACGATCAAATAGAGAGGAAAATCAAATAGGATTGTGATATTTTATAGCTTTTGGTGAAAATTGTGAAAAGTGCATATATGAATGAAATTGATAATTTCATATTACAATATATAGCATAATATAGTATACGTAAATACAAATTTATTACAAATACAAAATTAATACAAATCTATTAAACGAAATCAATAGTATTTCATTTACCTGAAGCCAATAAAATTTTATTATATGAAAAATTAGTTATATAATATTTAAATTATTCACAAGTTTCTAGCAGTGATCAACTAGACTTATAATTAAATAAAATTTCAGAACAATAATTAAAAATTTGCAACAAATTTTATTATCATTAAAATAGGCAGGCTGCCTATTATCATTAAAATATATGTTGCTCAGTAACTAAATTAATTTCCACATTTCAAATATCAGATTTCTATATGTGAGTTGCTCAAAAAAGTACAGTAGCAGTGATCATCTAGACTTACAATTAAATAAAATTTCAGGACAGTAATTAAAAATTTGCAACAAATTTCATTATCATTAAAATATATGTTGCTCAGTAACTAAATTAATTTCCACATTTGAAATGTCAGATTTCTATATGTGAATTGCTTAAAAAAAGTATGATGATTAAAACTTTTAATTACCGAGTTGTTGTAGAAGTTTCACATTTGAAACTGAAATAACATTTGCAAACTGGAAAATCATTATAGTTTGCTTAGGTTTTATGTAGAACGTCACTAAAAGTTTTAATTATTTAGAATGGTCCAATAATTGAAAATGTTTCCAATTACTTTGCACTAATTTAAAAACGAGTTTTAAAATAGAACTAGAAATTAAAAAAATGTAATCCAGATTAAAGCAGATTTTGCACTTGTTCTATCATTCAGAGTTTAATTATTAGTATTCATTACACAAACAATTAATATTTAGGGTTTATGTAAACCGAGTTAAATGCTTTTTGTTTTGACTATTTGGTAAATAAATAAATGAATTAAATTTATTAGAAAACGATGTGTACATTTGGTATGTATATTAGTTTACGAAATTACTATTTGTGTATTGGCACGAAGTCTGAAAACAATTCTTAAGTTCCTGTATTTAATAGGAAATTAAAAAAATGATAATAAATTAGGCAAGATTTATGAAGAGTAAAACAGATTTAATTTATCGATTCTTTTGTTCGTATGGTTAAACATTGGAAAATTTGTACTGAACTAGTTTCAAATTAATTATTATTTTAGATAGATGATGCAGTTGTATATAACCTGACATCAAGTCTTTCGAACAAATTTAATAATACTCTTCTTTATCATTTTTAATTTAAATTTCTTTTCTTGCATAACT